ACGTACTAGACATACATATACACACACACACACACACACACACACACACACACACACACACACACGTACACACACTAGCCCAGGGTGCCTGAGGAGTAAGTCATCCAATCTGCCCTCACGTGTCTCCAGGCTCCGCGGGTGTTAATGATATGGACTGACATATTATTACAGCATCTAAATGATGCTAGCTGCAGCTGATTTTAGCCCTTGGCGCCTCTGTACAAAGTTACTTTGTGTGACTGACAACTGAATGTAGACACATGGACAGTTTCACCAGCACAACTGGCCCCAGTGAGGGACTCGGGCCATATATAAAGACACTGAAATGAGTTGGGGAAAGCCTGGAGGCTTCGCTAACTGCTACAGTCCGACTGTAAGTGAAGCTGGAGAAGAACACACTGTTTCAGAGACTCTTTATCTTGGTGTGTGGCTTAATGTGCCTTTTCATCATTGCTACTTCAGAACACACAATGCTGTTTGCCCGGGAACGTGTGCGCACGCCGACCTGTGTGAGCTTGTGACGCGTCGCGCGTGGGTGTGTGTGAGTGTGAGTGCATGTGTGTGGTGAAGTAGCAAGGCAAAAAGATAAGGCATGGCGGTTAATCACATTGTGCGCATATGCAAATGTCGAGCGGATAAATCAGAGTGTCTGCAGATGAGAAATCCACACTCCCCCACACACACTCACAAAAACTTTCTTGAGGTTACCCATGTGCACTAAAGAGCGGAAAATAAATCTGTTCACTTAATCTCAGGACTCTGAAATGGCAGTGTGCACTATAATGAGGTTGTGTGTGCACCATTTTAAGGAGTGTGTCTGTGTGATTTCACACCTGTGTTAGAAAAAGTCACGACTATTATGAAACCACACCGGGATCCTGTATATATATATGTATAGATATATACATACATACACTGCATCAAACGCTGCTCTGTTATCTGTGACATGCACATCTATGAACTGCAGTTTTGTAGCACAAGAGCTTCTTTTATTTTCCTCAATCAAAAACGAATCATCAATCAATACGAGATAACACCACAAACAGGGACGGGCGTGTGTTTCTGGAGGATCTTCGGTAAGCACTAATAATTCATGCTTCTTGTAATTAATTATTCATTAAAGCCCCACAGAACAGACAGTGGCTTAGTAATTAAGCCTGAATCAGATGCTGTTGCTCATCTAATTATCAACCACTATAAGTTTGTTAACACATTAACCCGCATTAATTAATTATTGATAGCTGTCGGGTTTTTTAGCCGTTAGTTCTCGACTTCACAATCATGGCAAGGCAAGACATCCAGAACTGGCAGGATATTTTGAAATAGTTGCATGCAAATTTTGGGGTGTTTTTTTTTTTTTTTCGGTGGAGAAAATATGCGACTTGGAAGTAATTGCCTTGTTTGATAGCAAAATAGAGATCCAAAGCAATCACAGAGGCAGCAGCCAAACTCAATTATAAAATGAATTGAAATGCTTTAGACTAGAAAGCATGCAAGGTTGAGGGGTTTGGATCAGAGCGGAGCGTCTGCAGATTACGTCGCACTGTTTAGAACATCAAAGAAACACAAGGAGGTCTATCAATAGAGGCTCTTTTTTTACCAAGCCCTGCATTGGTAGAAAAGGAAAGGGGATCAGATGGTAGGAAACACATTTTCTCACCACTGAAAAAGTGGAGAAGGGGGACTAAACTACTATACAGTAGATGCAAATCTCCTCAGGCAGCCTCCACCTATACCAGTGGTTCTCAAAGTGGGGGGCGCGCCCCCCCAGGGGGGCGCAGAGGCATGACAGTGGGGGCGCGAGAGACCAGGAGGNTCAGTATCGAGTTCACGCACGCGGTCTCTCTAAAGATAAAACCCATGTTACGTTCTCACGACACCCCATCGAAATAGCTAAAGTATTCTCTCCACGAGTTATTGTAAATC